TGAAAAAAGACAAAAAGGAAAAAAAAAAAAAAAAAGAGGTTCAGATGCTGTACAGGCCAGCCACCAAAAAAACCAGTCTTTTAGGAATCACTCATTACAAAAGACAATCAGAGAGATTCTTCTATATCTCTAACAAAGAGGTGAACAAGGCCAAAAGACTTACGTCTAATAAATTAATGGTTAGTCTATGGAAAAGATGTTCAAAATACCAGTCAGAATAAAATGTTTCCTATTTAATATTACAGCAAGTCAACTGCATATCACCTGAGTATAAAGAAATTGTTTAAAAACCCTTAAACATCTTTCAAAGACCAAATGGGGTAAATAAAAAACGCAGGCTAGGATTCAAAGATTATTAATTACAGCAGAGGTTTCCAAAGTGATAAAGTGAAGATTCATGGGGGTACAGGAAGAAAATATCAGTTTTCCCATTATCTAAGCATGAGAAATGAAGCTCTACTAACATTTAACATATTAGTAATATGTATATATATACACACATATATAAAATGTATGTATAATGAACAAATAAATATGTACATGGAGGGGACATGGTCTCAGATTTTTTACTTATGGTTTGTAGCAATGAATTATTTGCAAATTTGTTTTGTTTAACATCATCGTTAAATATATACCACGTAAACATTTTTTTTTTAAAATTTATATGATGTACATGTATACCTCTTGTTACTTTCTAGAGTCAGGAAAAAAAATGTTCAATTCCAAAGCTCAGCTGAAAGTTATTTCTTTTTTTACATTTCTTATTCTTCCTATAAAGTTCCAGAGGGCAGGAAACATAAGTATCCTGTGCACAGCTGTATTCTCGAAACCTAGCACTGAGGCTGGCATACAACATGTGTTGGGTGAATTCTCTCTCTAGACATAAACATGCAAATATTGTCATTATACAGTACTGTGACTGAGCATATCTTCTGACGACTAGATAGATCAAAAAGGGAGACTCTGAAACCATTAACAAAGCAAATATATATAATCTTGGCCAATCCAGTTACCAAAGCAAACACCTTATCCCTACATGAAGTCATGCAAAACAAAACTGTTTTCTCCCAACGGACTACGGTAATTATGCTTACTTTGTTCAGAGGTACACATTAACAATACGATGAAAGATATGGTCGTTTCTTTACAAAAATACACACAACTGAAGCCAGTCCCTGAGCCTTAGGCTACTAACTTTAGGAAGGGCTCGAGACCTCTGTTAGACATCCTGCCTGTGCAGTACTGCACCTCACACTTCACCCTGCTGGAAAGATCTCTGTGCATTTACACGGAAACGTCTTAGCGCCGGTGCCCACCTGTTTCCTTACCAGAGCTCCTGTCCGAGGACACTAATCCTGCGGTGGTCTCTCCCGGATCCCCATGCTTCCCGACCACCGTTTCCGAGTCTGGCAGACGGAAGCTTTAATGTCAGCCTGTGTAAGACACCATCAGAGCGGTCACTCGGCAGCACACACAGTGAATGAACGTGGCACGGGGCTGACCCGCACACAGGTAACTGGGTTACTTGCTCGCCGGCTCCCCTCGGCGGTTCCGGAAAGCAGAGGGTTAAGACTTCACCAGCCTCCCGGAAACAGGGCGGTTCTCCCCGGGGACGCTCCCCTCCGCCCGCCAGCACGCTCGTCCTCCTCCGGCCGCGCCACCTGGCCGGGCCTGGCCTCCTCCCCGCACCCTTCCTTTTCTCAAAGCCCGTCCTGCTGCTTCTGGTGGGGACCGCCGGGCAGCTGCCCTGGAGCGCCTGACGAGGGGCCCCGGCACCCGATCCTCTCCTCCCTCGCTTCAGGACGCTCGGCCCCAGACCCGGAACGTCAGCCACGGGAAACAGCCCCGCCCTCCGAGACTCCCCGCAGAGCGGCGTCCTCACCTCAGAAGATGGGAGAGTCCAGGAGCCCCAGCNCCCCACCCCCCGGTCCCGGCGCCCGCCGCAGGCCGTCTGCACCACTGCCTGACGGGTCTCGCCTATTTTTTTTTTTTAATTTTTACCTCACAGGGATTCAACCTAAGTACTTATTCATATTATTATGACATAGCTTAATTTTTTTTTAAGCCTGGCTTGACTTTTATACCATGTCCCCCACCTCCTGGCTGTGAACAGGCGAAAGCTCGGGACACCTCCAAGGAGGTCCTCTCTTCCCCGAAGCTCCTAATCGCTCCTCCCCCTCACCCCGAGCCCGCCTCTTCCGTGGGCGGGGTTACCGGTCGGCGCGGCAGGGATCGCGCCACTGCGCAGCCGCAGGAGGGAGGTACCACAGCGGCTGCTTCATGGGGGGGCGCGGAGGGCACGCCGGAAGTAGCCGTGGTACGGGTCCCACCGAGGGGTACTCACCGCCGGCGGCGTCTACCCGAGCGGCGGCGAGAGC